AAGCTAAGAAGTTTTCTAAACCGGCATATGATTGCAATTTGCTTGCTAATCTTCTTGCATAGTGAAGCTACGTGATTGTTGAAATTCAGCCGGTCATCTATAAGCACGCCCAGGAGTTTGCAGGTGGTAGAGGGTTGTATAGATGTTCCATCAATCATGAAGCTGATTTTGTCTTTCTTTGCTTGGTTACGTTGGAGGTTTGATTTTGTTAAGACCAAGGATTCACATTTCTTAGCATTTAGGAGTAGGCCGTTTTGATCCAGCTTGAAACCACAGCTAGTTCAGAATTTAGGATCCTCTGTACAATTCTCGCGTTTGCGTTACTACAGTAAAGTTGTTTGTCGTCTGCATATGCGGATAGCTTGGCTTTTTTAATGTTATAGAACAAGTCGTTTATAAAAATGTTGAATAGCTGCGGGCCTAATACAGACCCTTGTGGAACACCTGACCTTATCTTTTCGGTGCATGAACGAATGACATTTAGCCTAACACATTCTGTTCTGTTTTTCGGATAGTTTTCCAGTAGCTCTAGGCTTTCTAGGCTGACACCGTACGCTGCAAGCTTTTCAAGTAGTAGATTGTGAGGGAGGCGATCAAAGGCTTTGCTGAGGTCAATTAATGTCGTTCCAACAATGTTGTTTGAATCTAGTTCAGTTTTCCAGTCTTCAGTAAGTCTCAGCAAGGTAGTACAGCAGCTGTGGTTCTTTCGGTAAGCAGTTAGGGTGGCTGGGAAGATAGTTTCAAAGTAAGAGGTTAACTGGATTGTTCACCAATGTGTCGCTCAATAACTCTCCAGTGAATATTTCCATCAACTTTCAGTCGAATGCTCATCCCAAAGATTCAGCTAATGGCAGTCGCCTGTAGTGAATTTCTAAAAATATAAAGATTAAAGTTTTTGGACTTTTCAGGAAACACTTCTTTGCTTTTAAAGGAATAGAGTATCGTTCAATACACGTATTTACACTCAAGGCACTTACTTTATATTAATCGCGATATCATTGCACTTGAAATCAGTGCTTTCGCTTGCACACTTCATTTCTCTCAGTTTGCTACCAAAGAGGTAAAAGGTGTAAATTATTTTCCTTCTCGAGCAAATTATTTGGAATTTTGAAAAAAGATGTTAACGATAAACGGCTTGTAAATCCAGTGAAATACCACTATTATCCTTAAATAGTGTGAAGCTTGTTTAAAAAGTTTAGAAAATTAATGTAAAATCAAGCACGAGGTACAAATAATATTGTCGAAGGTTCAAACGTGTACGACTATTGAACCTTGCTTTCTATTTGCTAACATAATGACACTTCCGACAGGTGGCTTTGAAAACGCTTTCTAGAGCGCGCGCTCGGGATAAAACAAACAATAATATTGCTGATTTCATTTCTTGTTTTCTAATTTTCCTTCAGTCATGCGATTCAAGGAAAATTCATTGCCTGACTCGTGAATTCCGCGTTAAATTGCACTTGAAAACCGATATCGCACGAATCGCGAAGCGATGAGTGCGATATTAGTTTTCGCGTGCAATTTAACGCGGAATTCACGAGTCAGATAATGAATTTTCTTATATTAGTAGCCGGAGTTTGAGCAAATTTTGCTTTTCACATTTTTGCCGCTAGTTTCCGATTTTGTTTGAGTCTTGCTGACACTCACTCTTAAGTCGTGTTTGTTACTGCGAAGAGCGCTCTCATAGTCAACAAACATCATGTTTTCATGGCATTCACCGCTGGTAATTCTGCGGTAAAACGCTTGGAAACTGAAATCCAGCTTTCGTGCGCTCGGGAAAACTGCAGTAAAACGTTCAGGAAAACAAGCTATATACTAGCGTTTTCGTGGAGCAGGAAAACAATCACAAACAACATGTTTTCATGGCATTCACCATTAGTTGTTCTGTGGAAAGACGTTTGGGAAATGCAGCGTTCACGCGAAAGGGAAAACTTGAGAAAAACGTTAAGGAAAACAGCTATTCATTGGTATTTTCCTGGTGCTGAATAACATGCGATGAACATCGTGCTATTCTTCAGTTTTACTGAGAGCGAACAATGAATTTTCCGTCTGTTTCCAGATATCTGAAAACGTTGGTATAATTTCAAATTTTTCAGTCATTCACCATTTCGAACCTTGATAACCCCAGTAAACAACGCAG